CATGTTTGAATGCTTCTGAAAATCTAACTCCAAATTTGTACCTGATATATTGTACTTGCCTCAGGAACAGTATATTTTTACTTTACCTGTAAAGTTGATATCAGGACATCCACTAGCTCTCCTGTGACTCCAGTAGTACTCCCACACACTATTAATTAATAGATAGGTGACTCATACGTTTTAAAAGTTTGGCGGACCTCTCTGTAAATCCACACTTCTCTGGTAATCTCAGACATGCAGCTATTCGTCACCATGACAGCAACCTATGAAAGCAGCCATGAAAATCTGAGATAGCAAGCATGCAAGGCAGGAAAGGGTAGCTGAATTTTTCCAGGTAATTTACTGCTGTTATTTTGGCTCTGGATTTTTTTTCAGGTGTATTTATATCACCAAATATTTTTTATTTGATTGATTTGAAGTTCAGGCATAGTACATTATTTGTATAACTTCAGTCTCTGCTGAAGAAAGCCCCACAGCCTCTACCTAACTCCCCTACCACCAGAAACAAAAAAAGAACAGAAACATATTGTAAGTGGAAAGCTCTTGCAACATTCCTGAATAACATCCAGATGTATGGAAATTCCATCATTCAAAAGGAAATATTTCAGGGAGTAAAAAGCATATGCTCTAGGACTCAAATACTTCATAAATAAGCCAAGAATGGGGGATAGACATTATCTATAGTGTTTTTTAGATGCATTTTAATGCTTAATATTTTGCTTTGCAGTCAACCAACCAACAAAATTGGCTGGAGGGCCAATATTGCAAACTAGTGCCCTGACACAATAAAACCTTTGACAACCTTCACAGTCACTGGTAGATCTGAGCAGCAAGTTTGTAATGATAACATTAGGTATGGGTGATACGCAAAAGTTTCCTAAATCAGATTAAGGCTCACATTTTATCAGCCAGGAAGGAGGAAGGTAGAGAAACCGCCTAGGTTTCTGAAGAAATATTCAGGTTCAGATACACAATGTTCAGTAACCATTCAGTAAATAGGCAAATAGGCAGGAAAAAAAGTTCAGGAGCAGGAAGGCCATGCTTAAAATTGTAAGATCTGTATCTTAATCAGAACAGGTAGTATAGTTTTATGATATAGATTCACTACATTTTCTCCCGAATACCTGTTTTATGCAGTTATGCTGCATGCAAGCAAATTGCTCCTAGCAGTATCAGCCTACTCCAATCAGATTTCAAATAGAAGCATTAAATACAGCTTTTAAAAAATATACATATTTCCTTAAATTGACCACTGGAAGGAAGTGAGAAATCCTCTAAGAACCTCCCTTAAAGAGAGGACTGCAGTGTGCCCTCATATCTGATTAAATATAATAAGATCCATGTGGGAGTGAGACTTTCTATATAACCCAGAGGGGGAACCAACTCTTGTCACAACTCATACCCTTACCATCACAAAAACCAGGACAGCATAACACAGCAGCCACTAAGTTCCCTTAGTTCTGGTGCTCAGCCAATAACTGAAGGTGATTTTGTCTTGTTATATTGAGGTTAAATTATGATTTAAATTCCTGGTAATCTTTTCCCAAGCATCTAGTGATAGGATGTGATAGCAAACAGCTTCAAGTTGCACCAGGGGAGGTTTAGATGGAATATTAGGGAGGATTTCTTCATGAATACAGTGGTCAAGTATTGGCATGGGCTGCCCAGGGACTGGTGGAGTCCCCCCACTGCTGGAGGTATCCAGGAGATGTATAGTTCTGTGAATGTGGTAGGTCAGACTGATAAGTCTTTTCCACAGTCTATAATTCTATGACTCTATAATGAAAGCTTACCACCAAAAATGGTGTCTTATTCCCCACTTCTTTTTTTCTCTGTTTCCTATTGATTGTCTAGATGGCCTATATAGATCCTATGTGGAAAGCGAGATACAGCATTAAAGGCAGAAATTGTATGGACTTAAACATCAGGAGTTAAAAAAAAAAAAAAAAAAAAAAAAAAAACCACAAAACCACACTTATCTAACCTGAGCTCTGCAGCTGAGAAGTACTTCTAGTACTTAACTTAAAATATAATTTTTCACAAAATTGAAAGACAAAACGAAGTAAAATCGACACATTCAGAGGAAAAAGCAGCATCGAGTGTCTGGCCATATCTGTTAACCTTTTCATGTCTGAGTTTTGCTGAAGCTTAAATACCTAATTTGTTCAGAGAATTCTCACCCATTATTTTTCACATGAAGCAGAGAATTTTAACATCTCTAAGTGCTTTCCTGCCTTCTCACAATCCAAAATAAATGCAAAGATAACTGCTGAATCTTTCAGAGTAGAAAAGGCCAAACTTGTGACTTCTGTAGTTTTTTTCCCCATTTTTAAGAGGATAGGAAGGAACACTGGAAAGGAAATAAGCTGGTGAATTGTGCTCTAGTCTCTCTGTAAAGACACCATTTTTCTGTTATTAGTTTGTTGGTTTCCTTTCTGGTCTTTTATTGTGTTTGTTGTTGTTTTCCTGTTGTGAAACTGCTGCCTATAAGAGAGGCAGGTTCAGAGACATAACGGCCCTATAGGCTGAGGTGAAACCAGATGGCCCATTTTCCCTTCTCCAGCTCTCTAATGCATCTCCTTTCTGAAGTCAGCTAGGGCTCTCATAGGAACCCTCCAGTAGCTAATTTAGCTTCCAGAAATGGAAAAAAAAAAAAAAAAAAAAAAAAAAAACTAACACTAGTACTACTAAGTACTACTAAGAAAAAAAAATAAAAATAAAAAAAAGGAGCACTCTGCCGCTGAGTTACTTCAACTCAGTGAAGAGTTTGATGCAGTCTGTCAAAGAGGTTGGAAGAAGACAAGGAATGAGGAAGACAGATGTGAGGAAGGAAGATGAATGAGAGCAGTAGAGAGTGGCAACCTTGGCTCAGCTGCCTATGGCAGTCCAGACATAGGCCAGAGAAACTTTCTTGTGCTGTTATGCTGGGAAGGTGATTGCATTACAATCACCTTGATTACAAGAAGTTCCATTTTTTTCTTGTAAATGGGCAATACCATGGAGTGGGATGTAAGTGGAGTTTAGACAGCCTGAATTTGAGGATCTTTGCATCAAATGTACCATCTCTTGGAAAGTGCCAGCTACACAGAGAACAAGTAACTCCTCCTTAGGATGAAGGTGGGAACTAGAAATTCCATAAGGATGGGGTCTCTCTCTTTTTTTTTTTTTTTTTTTTTTTTTTTTTTTTAAATTTCATCCCTAATCTAATGGCCATGGCTCCTAAAAGATTGCAGGCAGCTATTTAAGTAGAACCTGTGAGCTCTGAAACAAACTTTTAACTGAAATGCAAGACTACTGTCCTGAAAGCTTTAGCATTTTTTAATATTCCTTTCATCTTGTGTGTAAGGGAATTTCAGCAAGTTTAATCAGTTTAACAAGTCCATTGTACAGCTATTTATCTGCATTTGTTGGGATGAGGTTAAATTACTTCTAGAGAAAAATTGCTTTTTTTTTTTCCTGATTTTTGTTTTCATAAACAAAATCACAGCATGTGGACAAAATAATCTTTTGAAACAAAAGCTGCTGATGTAAGCGAAGTGGCAGCATTTTTTCCTCTCTTCCCTTTCCCAATAAGAAACATTTGCAACAGCAAATGCTCAGATTCTGGCTCCAAGGGGAAGCTCAGTACCCAGACTTACTCTCCTAGACAATGCCTGTGTCACATGGGCCATCTTGTCCACGTAGAGGCATGGAATCGAATTGGCTAAAGCTTACCAGTGCAAAATACTGGAAAAAGAAATTCTGAAGCCTTATACCTCTGCATAGCCTAAATGCTTGAGCCAGGTCTACATAGAATGTTTCTTGATCTCTGTTGAATACATGTAGAGAAGTCAACTACAAAGCATCAGGTTGGCATGAGCTCAAGTGACTCAGTTTGGCAACGTATGTTAATGTATTCTATTAACCCCCAAAGTAGGAGACCCGTTTCTGAAAAACACAGCTCTGCTTCTGTGCCTAGGTGAGGTTTGCAGCCAGTATGGAGGTGTCCTGAAGATGTTTGTCTGCTTCATTAATAGCAGGTTGGCATAGTGCTATTTGCGCTATGAAAAGAAAAACGTGGTAATTCCTAGTTCTTTGGCAAATGCTCTTATTCCATGCCATTTTGCAGAAGTGAGATAGCAAAGTGGCCTTTGCTTCCCTGAATGACATTTTCAGAATACGGTAATTTATCAGTACTTTTCAATGTATAGTTGTCACATGTGTCTACAAGAGAAGGTCTAGCAGGCATGCTCATAGCACATTTCTGGCTTCCAGAACCTAAATATATTTTGCCTTTAGCTAGTCATCTCCTCATGCTATAGTAGTTCTGCGTACAGACAGAATTAAAATAGCAGATGAGTAGAAAGCCACAGGTGGGACAAATCACACATATTAGTTGAGGAAGCTAGCAGATAACTTTGCGGGACAAATGACCTACAGGAGATGCCTTCTGTCCTTCAGCTCCAGGGGAAAATTTGAATTATCATCTTATCCAAGATGCTTAACTTTGAGATACATATACAGATAAAATAAAATCACATTTTACTCTCCCAGCCTTCAAGATATGCATTTTAAATACATGATTAAAAGGTATAAAATGCCCCTTAGAACTATAGGGCAAGTACTTAAGTGGTTAGTTAGACAAATTTTTGAGGTATTCAACATAGCAGAGCAATTAAGGATGTGCATAGATACATTTTAACAGACATTACGTGTTCTCTGCTAGATCATAACCACAGCAGTGAAAATGATCATTTATTCTTGTCTCCAGCTGTGGGGAAATCACAGCTGAGCCTTTCCTGACTTCACAAAACCAAGTAGACCCTGACTAAAAGCACAGTGGAGACCACGTTCCTGCCCAGTTCCTTCATCTCTGATATTTTCTATTGCTAACACACTCATAAAAAAGAAGCCAATCAAATTTGCTATATATTTTACAACTTAAAATCCTTTTAATATACCATGAGTCAACCTTCATGTGTGAATTTTCTTACGTTTTTGAAACTGTCTTGAAAACTTACCCATGTAGGGCTTTGTGCCAGCCATAGATGAAGCCTTTTCTGAGCCTTTTACTATGGTTGCAATGTTAAAGTCAGTGATATGAACATGTCCTGCAATTATACAAAGTAAAAACAGAAGTCAAAATAGCACATCTTACAAACATTCCTTGCTTTATTCAGTGTTTAACTGATAAATCTGTTTTAATGTCTTATGATTTACTATTAAGCACAGCTCATAGCTAAAAAAAAAAAAAAAAGTAACGACAACAAAAAAAAAAAAAAAAAAAAAAACATGCTTTTTTTCCCCCTGCATGGTTGTATCTATTATTTGTTTGCACACTGAACCTCACTTCTGACCGTCCCTGAACCTCCTCCTTCTGTGAGAACCAAGGACAGCAATTGTCTTTTCGGAGCAGTAATGCACAGAACAGTGCTGAATTTCTTGGAGTGATGTGTGAACTCTACCTCACCTTTTCTCTAACTAGAGCCATCCCTCACAATCTCCTGCACTCATGACACCTGTCTGCCATCACATCCACTTTGTGTTACAATCAGCCTGGCTTTTTCAGGGTGTCCTTGGGGCAAAAAGGGAGCTGAGAAGAAAAAGGGTATTTTAAAAATACAATAACTACAAAATTAGATTCATGGTAGCAGAGGAGCATTTGTGTAACAGCAGCAGGTCCCAGACAATCCTTCCTTTGACAGCAGATTACAAGATGAAAGATATTTGACACAATACAGACCATGGACTTGCTGCCTGACCAAGACTGCTGATTTAAACTCAGCTAATCAGGTTGGATGGCTCAAACATACCATCATTACTTTTTCCCTAGGGTGATTTATGGCAAGCACAGGGTAAATTGCTTTACCATTGCAAGGCAATAGTTGCTAATTCTCATCTGCCTTAGGCAAGTAAACTGAATGCAAATCCAGAATGAAAATGTATCTATCTGCACAATGTTGTCTGCATAAATCTGCTGGTATGTTTTGCATCTTCTACTTAGGGGCTAGTTCCTGCTGTGGACGCTTTGCCTGTGATTCCACCTGGCAATGCCACTGTGGAGGACGTGGATAGGTGCTCCCTTCCCCAGCTTAGCCACACACTCAAATCATAGTTGAGACATCTTGCCTTTAGGTGGAGTCCTGAACGTTGAGTTCCTCTGATACTTTCCCCTCCTCTTTTTTAAAATCAGGATCTCAAACTCACTCAGTCCACAGCGTGGAGCAGGCTTTGGGCATGAAGCAGTCAAAGATGAAAAGAACGTAAAAGTTGATTTGCCTGTGGTCCTGACACTGAACATTTCCCCAGTGCCAGACTGAGGAACAGCAATCTCAATGAACGATTACACTGCTTTGACAATCTGACCTAGATCCTACTCAAAGTCTCCAGGAAATGTACCTGCCAGCCTCCAAACAGTCTTCAGCCATACGTGAACTGAAATTCTCAGAATCCCCTCATTTGGCCAGACCTAGGATGCTTTTGAAAGTAAAATGGAAGAAGGCACATCTCATTTCCAAACTTAAACATATTTTTTTTCAAATGGGTTACATAGCAGAAGTTTTTGATTAAGTGCTTTACACATTTTTTAGTCTTCGCAAGAACTCCTTCTGTTGTGGTGATGCTTCCTCCTAAGACACCCTGCCCAAAAAACATGAGCAAAAGGTAAACAAAAGCATTGAGCAGAGCAAGTAATTCCTTCATAGAGAGTGGAAGGTGTTGCTTCCCATAAAAGCAGTCAGAGAGCACAGCCTGTCTTGCCACCAGTTTCCAAGATGGCATTCCTCCCTCTTGCTGGCTGCAGCTCATGGCTAGTGAGGAGAACTGCAGTTCATTTCTGCAGTAGAACATGATGGCAGAATGCTTATTGAGAAGGACAATTGAACCACACACAGGCAGTCCATGGCATTGATGCTTTAATTCCACGTGCACTGTAGAATGAAAAGCTACAACGATCTTGAAAACTAAGAATTTTTTTTTATAAAGTTGTGTCATTTAAGTGACACTACTGTAAATGATTCTCCCTATTAGAATGCCAGCATGATAGCCTGTTGCAAAACACCTATCACATAATATTCCATTCAAACTGATCCAAACAGTTGATTTGTAATGAAAATTGCCTCTCCTGCAATGCACTGTTTTCTCTCCCTTTTATTAAATTTCTTTTCATTTAACAAAACCAAAGTAGCACATGTGTGAAGGGTTATAAATGTTAGTTGGTGTGTTTTGTTAAAAATGCCTCTCTGTAAGGAAAGTAGATAGGCTTGAGAGCTCTGCATGCTGCTGGTGATAAAGTAGTAATGCTTTGCTCCCATGCTCACAGCACCACACAGCAAAACCACATCTGTATCTCTGGAAAAAAGAACACCTTTGTTCTTCTACAGCCTCTGGGGTGCCTGAACACAGATTTTGCTTGACGCTTAGAGGGCTGGTAGTTTGCCATGGAGGACCGGAAAGGTGTCCTCTGGGTAGGTGGTGGTTGTGCTGCCATAAGGACTGCAAACAGACCCCAGTTTGTTATGAGCCTTTCTAATCAGTCTCTATGACATTTTTATGGCTGCAGATGCATGTAGTCACATGCGTTATAGAATTGTAGGGGATGAAAGGTCCTCTAGAGAGTAGTCCAACCACCCTGCCAGAGCAGATCCTAGACCAGGTGGGCACCCAGGTGAGTTTTGAACATCTCCAGAGCAGCAGACTCCACAGCCTCACTGGGCAACCTGTTCCAGCATTCTGTCACCCTTACTGTGAAGAAGTTCTTAAATGCATTTGTGCAAAATTTCCTGTGCTTCAATTTGTGGCCATTTCCCCTTGTCCTATTGCCACTCACTGCTGAGAAGAGTCTGACCTTGTCCCTTTGCTTCCTGCACCTTAGATATTTATGGACACTGATCAGATGCCCCCTGAATCTTCTTTTCTCAAGGCTGAACAGACCCAGGTTGCTCAGCCCTTCCTCATAGGAAGAGATCATCTTTGTGGCCCTCCATTGGACTCTTTCCAGGAGATCCTTGTCTTTTTTGTACCAGGGAGCCCAGAACTGGACACAGTACTCAAGGTGAGGCCTCACCAGGACAGAGTAGAGGGAGGGATGAAAGATAACTATTTCTGCAGTAAAAATACAACAGTTCTGGCTATTTTAATCTATTTCCAAAATTTCAGTTCACAGGGTCATTTTACCTTCTGAGCTTCACGCCTTGTACTTGATCTCTCTTTCCGGATTTTATCTAGAAAAACTGACCATCAAGCTCAAGTCCAGTATCCTGGCTACCTTCTCAGGTACCAAGTACGGTACTGGACTGAACAGTATGTCAGCACCACCTGGATTTGGCTATTAAGAGCTGCGAAGCTGGGCAATGCACAGCAGATTCAACAGAACCTAAATAAATTCAAGTATCACAACAGAAGAGTTCTTTGCTTAATGTCCTAGGATGCATGACTCCATCTGATAATGAGAGGATAGCAGATAGTGGAGGAGGCAAATGCATACATTTCTCCAGCTCTCTGCAAAATGGTTATTTCAAGTCTGATTGCACCAGTTTCAGCTAAGTATACACGTATATTTCATAGAAACATAAAGGCTGAAAAAGATCACTAAGATCATCTAGTCCAACCATCAACCCATCACCACCATGCCCACTAGACTATGTCCTTTAGTGCCATAACTACCCTTAATCTTCAGTAGAAAGAATCTCAATGACAATTATTTCAAGAACTGCATTCCTCTAGTGTGCTGCCAAGTAAGGCAAATCTGTAAGTTAATTTCTACAGACAGTATATGACCCTTTAAAGCTTTGTGTGCATCTCAGAAAGAATGCATGAGGTATAAACAAATAGGGCACGTGTACATCAGTTTATCACATATCCACCAAATATCTAAGGCATAAAACAAATCATCTTTGACTATAACTGATTTTTTTTTTTTTTTTTTTTTTTTTGCTAAATGAGAATAGATCATAATTGTTATTAAAACAAGTTCTGATAGGTGGCTGAGGCTGGCTGACTAACAAGTTTCAATGAGTTTTAATATTCTAGGGTATGAAAGCGAAGGGGTGAATCTGAGGACAGAAAGAAAAAAATACCAGTCTGGAGTTAATGCCACCAGCTCAGCATGCATCAGAGCTGATAAGAAATCTCTGCATAGTAATATTCTGGATCATGTTCAGATCTACTTTGCCCAGAAGGTCGAACTCTATAAACTATTTAAAAACCAGTTCTTCACATTCATCTATATTGAGTACAAGAGTGTCATCTTGCATCCAGATGATCTTTGCATGCCTTGGCAGCTGGACACTCATCATCAGGAGATTGCTAGAAGCCTGATGGTCCTGCTTAAGGTGTGTTCAGGAGTCAGCATTCAGGGCTTAAACTATTGAATTTATGGGTGGTGATTTTTATTCATCCTATTTTTAGTTTTAAGACCAAAGATTGCTCATTGTCTACATTTTTCAAACTTGATGTTAATTTCCAAATGAGAGTTGAGAGTCTCACATAAACAAGGAAATAGACTTTTAAGGAAAGATTTGATGATCATAAAATAATATAGTTGTATATAAAAAGGCAAATAACACACCAACTTGAATCTACCTTTCTCCCTCCTAAGAGAAATGATTATTGAGTAAAATTATTACTGATAGAAGCAATAAACCAGTCAATTATAAAAGCTTTTAAAGGAGTTTTGGGATGTCATAAAAATGAGGAATAAAGTGAATGCAAGCAGCATGTTTCAAAACAAATGAAAGAAAACACTTTTATAAAAGATGGTGAACTGGTAGAACTTGTTTCTCCATGTGGTTGTAAAGGCCAGTTTTGGCAGCAGCTTCAAAGAAGTAGTAGTAGAATTCATTAACAGAGACCCATCCAGATTTTAATGGGAATATACAAAGCTTTACTAACAACCTAATATAAAAATTGCAGGTGATAAGGATCACCGAAGCATCTGATGACTAGAATTGGCAGCGGACACTGTCTGTGGAGATGATCTTTTGACTGTGGTAGAATACTGGCTGGGATCCCGTGTATGATCTGGAGGTGAATTCTTTAAATCATAGAATTATTAGAGTTGGAAAAGACCACTAAGATGATCTAGTCCAATCATCAACCCAGTCTTCCTTGGGAAAGGAAATGCAGAATGCCATGCAGAAACCTTGCTGTATCTTGTTTCAAGACATCATTTCACACTTGCCTGACAGGAAATCAAACCCTTGCAAATTCTTGGAAACAGTATAGTAACAGTTTGGTTGCTCTGCACTACACAAAATCTGGATGTCAAAAGGGGAGCCTCATGATTTCTGCAGAATGATCTGAAGTGCTAATAATGCTGTTAAGTAGCTATAGAAAGAACAAGTTATCATCTCTGAAAGAAAAAAAAAAAAAAACACAAAAAACCAATATCCTAATATGATTAATACTCTTTGTTTTTCTATATTTCAGACATCCTCAGATGCAACAACTAATAGATCACGGAAATATTTAAAGGGATCGTTAATTTCTTTGACATTTCAGGAAAAATACAACATAGACCAGACTTGTCAATCTTTAGTCCTAAACACTATCATTTCAGATATATGGATTTAAGCCATTAATGTGAAAAGAGTGGTGGAGGGAACAGAATACTGTTATCAGGAGATTTCTGTAGTTCTTTTCTCTGTATAATAAAATAATAGTAGATGCCATGAACCACAAAGCAGTTTTTTCAGTTGTTACTGGAGTATCTATTTGAGGCACATGCTAGAAGAGAACTCTACTGCTAAATTTAGAGGTTATTGATAGTTATAAGCCTTCTGGGAGAGAAGAAAACACAACAGAAGAGATTTGTTTACTTAGTTCAATTTAGAGTTTGAACCAAAAAAAAAAGGGACGCCAATGTTCCTGCTGCAGCACCCTGAAAATGTTTCTAATCTCTCCCATCACGAGAGAGTGAATATCTCAAGGACATCTGACAGTCATCTTCTGCTAGAGGCTTAAATATTATCTTAATTATCTGTTTTCACAGTTCTTATATAGTATGACACTTCTTATGATGACCAAACTCATCCACTACTACATCAGAACTTCAGCAGAACACTTAAGTTCCTACACTACAGGAAGTGAGGATTTGTTCAAATGCAACAGCCATACGAACAGAAACAGAGTAAAGAAGCTGCTTACCTTACACACACATATATTGAACAATTGCTTATTTATTTATTTTTGCTAAGTGAAAGTTGATGGTTCCTCAAAAAAATTGTTTTACTGTGAAGTGTCTATATAATCAATGAATGTACAGATGTTATAATTACGAAACATACCAGAGAGTTTGGCTAAGCAGTTATTATACCAAAAGAGAATAGATAGAATACTTACCCATATCCTCTACTCCCTATGAAACTCCAAAGGAGCAATCTCCAGAAGACATCCTTCCTTACTGCTAGTCAGCTCTTAAATGGGTTCTAGAAGACGTGGAGCCTGCCTCCACCTCTTCTGACAGCATAGGTGAATTGCTTTCACCTGTGCTCCCAGGGCTGACTCATTGCTCACCTCAGGTGATCTATCAGAGGTTCAGGCCATGATTCAGCAGTTCCCATACAGTGTTGCATTTAAATTGAAGCTTTTTTAGGGCTTTTGGATAGGATTCATGTGTCTAAATGCAAAATTTGGTTTTCTATATCTTTACACAAAACTTCCTCTGTATTATTCACTGAAGAGAAATAGATATTAATGCTTAAGTGCAGACAACCAAAATGGATCAGATGATCTAAATGAGTCTGTATCTATAAATAAACGATGATGACCAGCATGACACTACTACTACATCGTCATCTCATTTAGTGAGTATAGGGTCTCTTGCCCAGACTGGGAGAACTACAGCACCCAGACACAGCAGGTCTGTGAGCTGATTAATTCTGCTCACCAAGGTCTACCTTGGTAAAGACTGGTGAAGCACCATGCTGCTTTGCAGAGCAGGGGCTATCCATCCCAATATTTCCAAGCTGGCACTAGCTAATTTTGTTGCTGAATATTTTGTAGTCACCAAAATGTAATTCTGCAACATACTGCTGGCTCTTGCATAGCTCATCTACACTACATTGGATCCCATAGGAAAGCACTTCCAAGAGGCTGATTTTGTGTTGTAACTGACCTTGCTGAGGAGCAAGGAGAGATAGGCGTAACTACTTCAAAGGCTGTCAATCAGAGATTTAACACTCATAGTCATTTCATGTTGCCTTTCCATCTTTAATTCACACAGGACTTAAAGACAAGATATTTCTATTTCATGCTTATTTGCTGATATTAGTGTCTAGGGAAAATTAACACATGTGAGTCTGAAACACTAAATTCCTGAAGTCCTAGATGGTTTAAGACTGAAATATCATTAAGTTTTATTGGCGTCAGTATTCCCAGAGGTAAATTCCAGCTGTCTTAAATGTTACTTCTTTAATCAACTTTAACATGCTGACCCAGCAGCTCTACAACAGATTTTGAAAAATAATTGTATCTTTGGCATCATTTCAAGTCTGTATTTTTTTCAGAGATTAACTGCTCTTAGTCGATTTCTGAAGTGTATAAAGCAAAACAAGTCTTTCCCAGCAGCAAACACATGTTAATTTCCATTTTGTCTGTCTTGTACTTCTGTTCTAATTAATACAAGGTCAAAACTTGCTTTTGTTATATTTTCTCGTATCCTTGCTATAAATGGCTGCAAAAAGATGCATTTCATTTTAGCAAAATACTTCATATATTCTCTGCATCTGTATGGTTCTCATAAAAAAAAAGTCAGAATTTTTATTCACTCAGCACATTTTTTCCTTGAGATCATGGAAATAGTCTTGAAAATTCAAAGCTGATTATGTTGTTAGACATTTTTAAGTATTTTTTGAGCCAGAACTATATGTAGAACCATGAAAATTTTACAGGCATTTTAGAGGCAAATTTCAGATTTCGCATCTAAATTTAGGAAAATAATTTCAGATGAACAATATTTTGCTATTTGAAATTTCCTAATCCTTCATGATTTCAGTACAGAAAATAGATGCTTGGTACTGCTGTATTGGAAGGTCCCTAAAGAGCGATTATCATTGAATCATAGAATCATAGTATATCACAAGGTTGGAAATGACCTGTAAGATCATCTAGTCCAACTGTCTTCTCATTACCACTGCTACCACAAGTACTAAACCACATCTCGCAGCTCCTCATCCAGGCGCCTCTTGAACACTGCCAGGGACGGCGACTCCACCACCTCCCTGGGCAGCCATTCCAGTGCCTGACCACTCTCTGAGAGAAAAAGTTTTTCCTCATGTCCAACCTAAACCTCCTCTGGTACAACTTGCAGCCATTTCCCTGGGTCCTGTTCGTTGCATGGGAGAAGAGGCCAAATCCCTCTTCACCACAACCTCCCTTCAGGAAGTTGTACAGTGCAATGAGGTCTCCCCTGAGCCTCCTCTTCTCCAGACTGAACAATCCCAGCTCCCTCAGCCGCTCCTCATAAGACTTGTGCTCCAGACCCCTCACCAGTTTTGTTGCCCTTCTCTGGACACGTTCCAGGGCCTCAACATCTTTCCTGTAGTGAAGGGCCCAAAACTGAACACAGTACTCGAGGTGCGGCCTCACCAATGCTGAGTACAGGGGGACGATCACCTCCCTGCTCCTGCTGCCACACTGTTTCTAATGCAGGCCAGGATGCCATTGGCCCTCTTGGCCACCTGGGCACACTGTTGGCTCATGTTCAGCTGAGCATCAACCAACACCCCCAGGTCCTTCTCTTCTTCACACTCATCCAGCCACTCATCCCCAAGCCTATAATGCTGCATGGAGTTGTTGTGCCCAAAGTGCAGGACCCGACACTTGGCCTTGTTGAACCTCATCACATTCATATCAGCCCAGTGATCCAGCTTATCTAAATCCCTCTGAAGGGTTTCCCTACCCTCAGTGACTTACAGTAATCATGTTATTAAAATATTAACTTATTTTTGATTGGTGTCCCTGGTGATCCTCATTCCTATTAATTCTTTCATGTTCAATTCAGATCAGCTTTTTTTTTTTTTTTTTCCATAGGAATGAATGTTGCAAAACTGCCAATTGGACAGGAGGATGTGCAGAATGTCCAGATTTCAACTGGAATCCTGCAGCTCAAGCTTACTTAAAAACCATGATCCACCATATCACAGACAGCTCACAAATTAGAGGCATCTTGGAGAATGCAGTCAATATTTACTCACCATGTTCATCCAGTAATATGTTGTCAGGTTTGATATCCCTGTAAAATAAGAAAATGCGTGTATTATAATTCATAGCAAAAGAAAATGTGCAATTTAAAAATGTTTTCCATATGTTTGCAGGGGCCAAGTAACTTAAATTAGAGCAATGAAAATCATATCATATACAAAGGTAAATGATTTTTATCTACATTATTTACTGCCTTGAAAGCATGCATACTAAAGATGTTGCCTAGGTTTCTCTTTCATATGTTTTTGTTTTCATATGGTTAGCATTGACAAAGATTTGGCTTTCAAGATGTATTTTACTCTTTAAAGTAGTGGGAACAACAAAATGGAAGATTCGCATCCTGGACGTGCCTGATTGCCTCAGGGACTCTGCATGTGACAGACACAAGAAATCAGTTAACTGGGAACATCACTGATCTATCCTTTCTGCCAGACCTACTAATCTGCCATGCTCATATGCATGAATCACTCACATATTGGAGAGTCCTGCTAGATCTTATACTACTCAAGCAGGTCTAGCAGCTCCCTTTTTAGCACTTGAATCTACACGTGTCTGCTTGTAATGGTAAATAGCAGGCTTGGAAAAGGGGTGGTGCTAAGGAAATGTGGGATGTGATGTATCAAAACATCAGCTCAACTCTGATGTTCTTGGCACAAAGAAAAGACACTGGTTAGAGAGCCATGCTTGTCTTTTTAAGTTGACCTTTACTCTGCTGTCAAGAACAATGGAGACAACTTTTCTTCACCACTGCTGGACAGTGCCTTCACACTGGCAGCTCACACCTAATACAATTTTGAAGCAGTATTGCATTTCCTGAAGGGGAGATACATTGATCTGCCTTGTGCAAAATATTTGCCTCTTGGGCTAAATTCTTCACAGATCTCAGAAGAGAAGGCATTGAAAAATGTATTCCAAAGATCTGTGTATTTTAATGCAGCCAAAGGATGACTTGATTATTCTGATTTAAACGTTTCACTATAAATCCTGTCTGAAATATGTACTTACACATATTTAGATTTCACTAACAAATTTTACCTAGTTTTCCCATGAATGGAATAAAGAGAAGAATGAAGTGTTGCAAAAGGATAGTATTGCATCAGAAGTTTTTTTTTTTTACTTTAAATGTAGAATGATTTCTGAAGGAAATCTCAGGAATAAGATAGCAATAGCATCTGTATACATTATGTATGAAGCGACTTCGATATCTTTGTTGACAAAAGTCAACTTGCAGCCTAATACTATGAATTCCAAACTTTTTAGCTTTTCCTGAGAATCATATGAAAATATGAAGTACACGAAGATTATATTTACAGTTTGTGAAGCAAAAGCTGGGAAACAGAATAAATAAAGAATTGTTTTGAATCACGTTCTGCATAATATTGTAGGATGTGTGCGTGCATAAGGAAAATGATCTCACTATGCGTTACCATCTGGAATGGAAATTTATACTAATATTTCAGTGTGAACACCTGCTTTTCTTCTGTATAACTTACAGGCTATCTATAGTGGTCTGATTCAGGAGAAAGTTTGATATATACTTGTAATATAAAGAGGAAATCTCTCCTAGAATCCATGTCAACCACAAATCTCTGATTTCTAACTTGTTTCTTTCCTCTTCCTCACACTCTCTTGGCACATAGCTTACCATATCAGAAACTCTCCTTCCTCTGATTTCACATGGCTGACGTTATGAGATACAGATGAACTGTAGGTTTGAATGCCTTTTTTATAAGACTTTTGTCGAATTAGCATAGGAAATGTTATACATTTTTATATGTAGTTTTATACGTTATCTCTCAGCTAATGAGACAGTTTTCAGAAAAGCTACTTCTCATCTGATATCAAATATATTTGCTAGTAACGAGCTGATCTCTAATTACTGACAACTGTTTCCCAATAAGAGATTGAACTGTGATTTCAACAACTTTGTATCTGGCCCATGACTATATAGTACACCATGATTTTCAGTGGAAATGAACTTGCAATTATGACTAATAACTATTGAATTAAATATTTAAAACTTTGTCTTTACAAGACTTAACAAGCATAATATGACTCTGCACTTCTCATATGGGTGAAAAATTGGAGTTACAGTCATATCCATGAGTGCCATTCTGTGGCTTGTTAATATCAGTGATAAATTCATTCTTCATACTGTTTTCAACAAACTGAGGAAAAAAAACCCAACTCTTAGGACTGGAATGATAAAATCATGAGTACTTCCCTGAGAATAAAACTGAGAGAAAGGAAATATTTGACTTTATGAGCTACTGTCAAGTCTATAGCAATGTGTCTCCCAGGGAACTTGGGACATGTAACTGGTACATGCCTTTTCTCTTTTTTTTTTTTTAAGAAGATGATTTTAAACAATATGAATATCTATTATGGTTTTGCACTATTACATAGACTGCGTATTTTTATTGTCACCAGAAAAGACACTGACAAATCCACTAGTCAACCGCATATAGTGTCAAATATATCTTACATGCAGTTGTATCTGCAATGTTCAGTAAGCTGAGCAGTAAAAATTATACCTCTGCTTGTCTTTCTGTGACTAATGCAAGCAGTGGCTTATACTTGATACTGATTCTTACCTGAGGGATCTTTTCCATCACTGTCTTTGCTCATTTTCTCTGAGGCAGGACCGCAGCTGGGGGCAGGGTCTATCAGCTTGCAGAGGTAACTTAATAGATTCATCTGTACCTGACGCAACTTGATAGACTCATCACCATGTCTCCAATCTCATATTTTTAAACTGACTTTACAGCAAGTAAATGTCATGGGCTAACCTAAACAAGAAGGGGAACAAGTTTCCTATGTGTGTTTTTCCCCTTGAGCATAAGATACTACTGTTTTCAGATCACATGCCCGGAGTTGTCTATATGTGATATATGAGATATATGAGAAAATAAAGCACAAATTAACACTAAAAAGTGTGCTTTCCAGTAGCAGTCTATTATGTAGTTATTCCCAGTCTACAGCATAGAACTCGAAGATCACCCCACTGGAGGCACCTTGTTGAAAGCTTTACAGACTGGAGAGGGATGAGCTCACAGTCATGTCTTTGCACCTTTAATACATTTGGCTTCAACAGAGTCAGTGTGAAGACTTGGAAAGTGTAAGAGCATTGCAGTTATAGTTAGAGGATATGTTCAGAATGGAAAGCTTGTGGTGTTCACCAAAAGGCAGCTAGTTCCTTTGAATAAATGCTCTGGTTAAATTCATTTATATAGTGAAAATGCTGTTTCTGTAGAGATATGGATTTAAAAGATAATAACTCTTTAGTTAAGCTGTTAAATTCAGAAATGTTAAATAAATGAAATTCTGTTTTGACTACACATCATCAGAAAAAGTTTTTCCTTTTAGCTAACTTGTTCAAATGTGGAAAAGAGGGATGTGAAATTCAGTTCCTTAACTTCAGGGTTTTCCTGTTGTTTATACTCCTAGCTGATATAATGAACTGAAATACTCATTTCATAATCCCAGTATATTGAACTAGCTCACTAGAAAATTCTAAAGACTTTTGCAGACAGCAAACTTACTCATGTCCAGACTCAGAAAAGCCCTGGGCTACCTTCAAAATCATTCACCAACAACAGAGTTGTCTATAACTAATTTCTAAACCTTGACTTTCTCATTCTGTGCTGGTGCTACTCCAGTTCTTCTTTTTATACACAGAAAAAATACAGAAATGGAAACAGAAAAAATTTCAAAGTCTTCACTCACTGACAGGACAAGGTTATATATTGTAACTAATATAACAACCCAAAAAAGCAGAGTTGAAAACAAATGAGAAAAAAAGGTTGGAAGAAATATGGTTCAGTTTCTACTTGTTGCTATTGCTTATGAAACCATTTCTGGCTTTCTTCATTCACCTAGCAAGGAACGTCAAATAAGGCTGCCTGAAGGATGGAAGTACCTTAAAAAGGTGCTTCATGTATTTTCCAAGTAATAATGAATAATTGATAATCTATTTGTGTCTTTAATATCTAGGTCAAGTGGACACCGAAGACATTCTTTCTACGTGGAGTAACACAGTGAGTCACTCATATTCATTGCATATGCCAATCAGAGTCTCCTGAACTCACTTGAAAAGATTCTGTTGATTGTAAAGGACTAAAGCTCAAACATTTTCAGTTTTATTCACTGTTTCCATCCACATTCTTTCCAGGAATTACTAAGTTTGGTTAATAATTTTCTAAATTCAGAATTGGAAAGGTTGTGTAATTTCCATCCTTGGAGGTTTTCAAGACCTGACTAAATAAAAGTCAAGAAACCTGTTCTGATCTTACAGCTGACCCTGCTTTTTGCAGAACAGTGGACTCTTAACAGTTCTGGAGGTCCATTCCCACCTGAATTTTGAATCTATGAAACATAACACATCTAATTGTTCATCACTATTTTTCCTCTTCCTTTTGGCTAAAAACAAGTTCATGAAAGATTTATAAGGGACCTGGAAGGAATCTTTGGTATAGTCCAGTTAGTCCAGTGCAGATGGAAGCTAATCAGAGCTTGCACATATTCAAATCTATCCCAGGGCTTAAATACTCATGAAGAAAATAGTAGGAATAATGTCATGGTTTTATGATTTTTGGTCATCAGTGTTCCACACCATAACATCATGTAATGCACTGGGGGTGGGGTTTGATATCTGCCGAATGTTTGTCCGTCGGAGAAGAACTACATTTCCCCAGGAGACTTTGCGGTCAGCAAGGGGATATAACTCCAAGCAAGGTCACCTGATCCTTCTTCTTCACCTGCTCTTCGCTGTCTGCGCTTCGCTATCTGCGCTTCGCCGCCTGCGCTTCGCCATCTGCACTTCGCCGTCTGTACTTCAGTCACTCAACTGGACTGCACTTCTCACCCCAGCATTGTGGTGAGGTCTATACAATTCAAACAGACTCTCTCTCTCTCTCTCTCATTGTATTTTACTAATACTATATTTAGTAAAATCATTTGTTCCACCTCAGATCAGTGCTGTTGTTTTCAAGTATTCTGGGGTCCCCTGCTTCCCCTTTCCCAGAGGCTCGG